CCTTTAAGTGCTTTAACAGCAACTGTAATGCATTGGCTGTCAATATAGTAATGTCCTTTGTATACTTTAGCAAATTCACCTGTAGGATTTTATAAGTAAATCAAGGAATTTATTTGTTAACCTTGTCCAACACAATCCAGTAGCTTTAAGTGAGTTTTCTTCATTAACAAAGCATAAGGAATGTTTTTCAAAACTTCTTGATCAATCTTGTTCAAGCAAACTGTATGAACATGTATTGTATACATGTCTGATGTGAAGTCTATTAAACTTACTTTCAGCATTGTTTGAGGAAGTTGACATTAGCCTCAGACTATAGAATTAAATGAAAGCCCAGAACAATATACATGTATACTTACCGAGTTTCCATTTCAAATGCCATCATAGGTTCTGTTCTACTTTTGCGTCTCTTTATATAAATGACACCCACTACTATGAGGCATAGTACTATTACTGCAAGCCCTGATGATAGCGCTGTCCCAATGATCAATTCATTTGAATTTGTAGTAGAAGATGCGGTAGATGGTTCTCCTTCTAAAATTAACTTTATTAATTTTTTCAACAGTTTTAACCTCCTACCTTCTGTACCAACTGTTGTAGTACTTATTTTTAGGTAAATTGTTCTATTCTTATACCCAGCTGGATGCCATATTAATACTTGATAGTATCCTTCATCATCACTTGTTAGATCAGAAATATAAAGACTTCTACTATCTTCTGAGATGTTGACCCTGATATCATATCCTTCCACAATACTTGGAATTGTCACACTTCCATTGCTGGTAGTAGTCCAATATGTCCATGATATGTGGTCAGGCAGTACAGGAGGATGAGCTCTCCCCACTTTTACAGTAATGGTAACATTATCACTCTCATAAGCTGTTATGTTTTGTGGTAGTTCAATCTCAGGAGCGACTAAAATATTCAAAACTTGTTTAGTAACATTATTAAGTGATAAATATACCTTGAATGTTCACAGTTATATTGTGGGATTGTGTAGCATTGATCAAATTAGTGACACCATTTTTAGCTTCACATGTATATGTTCCCTTATCTCTTTCATATCTAGTTATTTGTATAATTACTGCTGATTGTTGAGCTGAGGGATTAGATATTGTTAAATAACTGTTTGAGTGAAGCTGTGTGTTATTGTGATACCAAATGATAGTTGGTTGAGGAACACCTGTAGCAAAACACCACAGGTACATCCTTTCAGTTTCATTTATTGTGATATTAGTGACATTAGAGCTGATAAATGATGGGTCTGTATAATATAGAATGGAATTAAAATTTTAAGCACAGTTAAAGTTGACTTACGATGAACTGTCATTTCGCGATATGCTGTATCTATAGAAGCTGTGAATGGTTTTGGTTGATCAAATAATAGTCCCTTTTGATACAGACCATGTACTTTTGTAAAGTTGTCAGGTTGAAAATAAATGTAAGTATAGAATCTACACCACATATTAAATGAAAGTGGCGTTAGCAAGGAGATTCTGACACCGATTGTGCTGTTTAGTACATTATAGAGGCCTTCTGTTTTACGTGAATCTTTTTTATTCTTTATTGAGAACAGAGATCTTGACTCTTGCCATCTGACAGTCATTGGATAGAGACTACGAGCGGAGCATTTCTGAGTGAGTGTTTCTCCAGTAATGTATGTTGATGCTTGTGGTGTCTTGGTAATATCAGCAACTACAATCATATAACAAATTACAACTAGAACCTAAAGACTGTTTTTAGTGTGTATATAGGCTTAAAATGAGAGAATTTTTAACTGCACTGAAATAAAAAGTTGAAACAAGTAAAAGTTAAAATTAATTATTTTACGGTTCATATGTTACATTAGAAAGACATACTTACATGGGACATCAATATATGCTGGAGAATTTTCAAATATATCACTTTGATAGTAAACTGTGTGGCAGCTATAGAGATAGCTGTCATAGTATGAAGTTGACAGTGTACTGTGTTTCAGGTTAATTGAGTGATAAGGCCAAAGCTCTTTCTTGAGTGCAACAACACCATAGCTACTCTGTGGTAGTGGTACATTGTTTCTTCTCCATTCAATACCGTCACACTCTGCACAAAGACATGTAAAGGTGACCTTTCGTTCAGTGAAGGATAGGGTAAGAAAATTTACATATGGTTGACCTTTAAAATAAAAGATATAAAATGCATGTCTTAGTTGATAAATCAAGTTCGTACCAGAATGATTGTAAAGCTGGTGATAGTGTGCCCTTTGGGATAAGTAATCATAACTGATTGCTATTAGTCGCATTGAAAACAATTGATGGAAAGGAAACCTCCAATGTACGGTCAGGCTATCATCACTTGTTTTATTAACATAGGTATAATAATGACTTCTTCTGTATAAGTTGTTTGACACATAGGCAGTCATGAAGTCATTGTATACTCTTTTTTGGTAGATGGATCCACTACTCAAGTACTGAAATGAAATTAGAATATTTGGCAATGGAAAACTTCTCACTCTCCATGTTCCAAACACACCATTGCCACTTTTAATAAACCTTGTGAAGTTTAGCCTTGGTAGATCTATGCATAAAAATTATTACAAAATATCTATGTATAGTTTGAATAATGACTTACAAGTGTTCCTGACATAGACTGGTTTTGAATAGATTGCACCAAATGAGTTGTTGACTCTACAGTAGTAATATCCAACTGTTAAGTTATTAATAGGATTCAAAAGAAGAGAACTGTTCCACCACACATATCCTTCATCATCAGAGTTAGGATTGTACACAATATTAGACACTTTACTACCACTGATGATAGTGTAGTCACTGGATCTATTAG